CTCTCACTAAACTCGGAATAGGATGGCAGACATCAAGCCCCAGTGATCCGCCCCACACAGCAATGGGGTTAAAGGTGTATAGCTAGGCATGGATAGACGTGTGCAGTTGCAATTGCTCATGGAGACCAGGGGTTAACTCTGGGTATCTCAGTGTAAGAAGACACATCTTATTTGTGTGGCTTACACTCAACTTGGAGCTCCCCATTTTGACAACAATGGCTGGGGAGCAAGGCCTTTCAGATGACCTCTTTCCTCATAGCAATGCTGGGGTTAGACATGTTCCACTACACCCTGCTTTTACATGTGCTGCAGATTTAGAACTCAGGTCTTCATGCTTACAGTAAGCACTTTACCGAGTTATCTCCCCACCCCCATAAGGAAAACAATTAGAATCCACCACCCTATAAATTTACTGGTAATATGTTCCAAAGCATATAGTTTTACAAACATTAGTTATAGGTATTATATAAGAATATTCTAAGTTGGTTTTTATAGAAATTATTATATATACACATTTATATTACAAGCTAGTAGAAACTAATATATACTTATTTTAAAACTAAATTGTAAACTTTTTAAAAAAAAAAGATTTATTTTATTGTACTTATGTGTAGGTGTGTTTGTCTCTCTGTGAGAATATGAGATTGCCTGTGGAGGTCAAGAGTGTTAGACCTCTCGAAGCTGAAATTATTGGTTTATGAGTGGCCTAACATCATAGCTCCAGTCCCCATGACTAAGCAGCAAGTGCTCTTAACTGTCGAGACCCCTCTGCATCTGTGCATGTGTGTGCATGTGTGCATAGGTGTGCACATCCATGAGGTGTAATGGAAACTAAATCTAGGACTGTGAGTAGGGGCAGGCAGCAAATGTTTTATCACTGAACTCTAGTCCCAGATTAGTGAATCTCCAGCAATGATATTTACCTGCAGCAAACTTTCCACGAAGCACGGACTCTAATGTTATCTCATCTTCTCCAAGAGCTTCAATAGTCACTTCCGGGAAATGCAGGAGATCACTCGTCACTTGAGCTGTTAAGTCTTGCATACTTCCACTGTAAATATTTTTTTAAAAGCAAAATTAGTATGGTTATTTGTTCTATTGACCAGTACACTTCATTATTCTAGTCAGATGATTGTGAGGGAAAGCAAGCCACATACAAAAGAAAATAAAGTAAAGTAAGTGTGTACATATGGGTCTACCATAGTCTTGCCTACAAAAATATATTTCCTAAGAAAATATTTCTTTCAAGCAGCCTTAGGGAGATATTCACGAAGCCCGAAGTCCTGAGGATAACCTTGATTTCCACATTCTGTGAAAACTCCTACAGTGTAACTCACCTTACTGCCCGACTTTCAGAGCGCAACAGCAGATACAGGGAAACAAGGGGCTACCCCAGTTTAGGAGCTATCTCTTTTCCACACTTTTTTCCTCTTCCTTTTTGTATACTGGGAATTGAACCCAGTACCTCTGAACAAACATCTTCAACCCTCACAAAGCTGATTTTTTGGTAAAGAAAGAAAAACTACAATGTCCAGACTCCCCAGTAAACTCAAAAATTGAATCTGATACCTTTTAGTAGATAGAAAAAAAAAATCTAAATTATCTTTAATTTCTTATACAAAACTAAAGTCCCTTCATGACTTCTGTTGTAAATAACCAAAAAGTAGGGCTGAGAGATAGTTCAGTAGTTAAAAACACTTGCTGCTTTTGGAGGAAGCCACAGGTTTGGTTCTCAATACCCACATGGTGGCTCACAACCACCAACATAACTCCAGTTCCAGGAGACCCAATACCTTCTCCTGCCCTCCACAGGCACCAGGTATGCATGTATGCATATACACAGGCAAAACACCCATACACATAAAATAAAACCTAAAGTTCTGGTTCAATATAAAAGCATCTTTCTGAATGATGAGATGAAAAGCAGAGAGGACAGAGAGGAAAGAGAGGGAGGAAGGACAACAGGAATTCTGAGAGACAAGCTGGCTCCGGTCTTGAATACTAACTATCAAATCTAGTCCTGGTGACCCTATCTTGTTTAATGCACTCTGAGTTCCAAAGAGGCAGACTCCCTCAGGCTAGACATGGTGTCACAGACCTATAATTTTGGTATTTGGGAGGCAAAAGGAGGAAGATAGCCACAACTTCCAGGCCAGTCTGGTCTACATGGTCAGTTCTAGACCAGTTAGGGATGTACTGAAAGACCTTAGCTAAAATAAAGCTCAGAGCTAACAGAGTTGAATGCAAGCCTATGCCATCAGAATAGTAATTCGGATACAAAGTCGGTGCTTCAGCAATAGCCTCAGTGTCCAAAAGGTAAAGAAGCAGGTTAAAAAAAAAAATCACTTGAAAGAGAGAGCAAGACTAAGTGTAATGTAGAGAGGGAAAGTACACTAGATGGATACACAGTCAAGATCCAGGAATCTCAAGACTCACAACAGGAAGGAATAACAGGGGAAAAGACTGGGCAGGTTGGATTAGAATCTAACCTGAAGCAGAACTGCTTTGTAAAACAAACTGGACTCAAACTCTCAGATATCCTCCTCCTTCTGCCTCCTGAGCACTGGGATTAAGGGTGTTTGCCATCACACAATGCCACAATAAATTTTAAGATGGAATTTTAAGCCACATATGGTGGTGCACGCCTTTAGTCCCAGCACTTGGAAGGCAAAGGTAAGAGAGGATCTCTGTGAGTTCCAGGCCAGCCTGGTCTACAGAGATCCAGTACAGGCACCAAAACTACACAGAGAAACCCTGTCTCAAACAAACAAACAAACAAACAAACAACACTGTGCTGGGTAAAGTAGAATCCAAGGGCAGCGATCTACATTCTGACCTCCAGAAGTTTACATTCTAGAAGACGGCATTCATAATCACAATATCAGACACAGGAATAAAATGCTACAACAGAGATTGAAATCCTAGAAACAAACTGAGATTAAGAAAAAAAAAAAAAAAAGCACAGATGAAAGGTGGTAGTTAGGGGCAGGATTTGAAATGTGAGAATTTAAAAAGGTAAGCTGGCATGCCAAACTGAAGATGAGCCTCAAGACATCAAACACCTTTTCAAGAATGTGAGTCCAAGAGTGGCGCTGATTCTGTATAACTGCAATAGAAAAGCCATGAAATGAGGCTGGATGGAATAGCCATGCTACAGAGATCTTTAAACTAACCTGAAGAACACTTCATTCTTGGAGTCTCTGTAAATCTTATAAAGTTAGGCTCTAAAAAGGAAATGTTTTGAGTGGAGATCTACGGCCCAACTTTAAATGTTTACAAAACAATTAGGTTGCCTTACAATTGGTAACATTTTAATACTAAGTTACTATGAGCCTCACACCTGTAATCCCAAACTATTCCCCGGGTTGATGCAAGGGGAGTGCCAATTCAAGGACTGCCTGGGCTACAAAGTGATAACGGTCTCTAAAAAGAGGAAAAAAAAAAAAAAGTAAAAAGAGTAGCTCAAGGTAGTTCACGCGCCTAACAGTGTGAGGCCATAGATTCAATCCCCAGAACCACCAAAAGTACAAAATAAATCACGGAATACGGTCTTCACATAGCATGTCATGGCCACATGAAGTAAGTAAACTCACCCCAACAACTCTGTCTTTCAAGAAGCTGACAGTTAAAGCTCAGCAAAGAGACTTCTTAAAGCCCACGGATCCTTTAGGATATCAAAAACCAAATTATGTTTTCTTCTAAAGAACCCACGTTCTTTGAAATATGTCTCCAACTGTCTATTAAAACAAAACAAAAAGCAAAAACAAAAGACAGCGGCTTGGAGTGTTGATCGGTGGTGGAGCGCGTGCTTAACATGCGCCAGGTGGTAACTTGCATCACTGGCATCAAAAATAAACAAAAATAATAACGCTCACTTTCCTGTAACAACACATCTCTAGAATGAATGCCATTCGTTTTGGGAATCCCCCCCCCCAAAAAAAATCAACCGATCCCACGCTTGCCTGGCATGTGTGAGGACCTGAACGCGATTCTCCACCGTACCAAAAAGAACCGTTCCACAAAGTCAACAAAAACCACCTGTCTCAAGCAGACCAGGTCTACCTATCAATCCTAAAAGCAAATATAACCGACTCCCCAGAAAGTCGCCCAAAGGCCCCCCTAAACCTGGCAGACCAAGTTCTTGACACGGTTATCTCCAATGTCCCGTACCAGGTCCATTCACTCCGGTGGCCCGCACCACCCGGCCACCGCCGAGTGAAACTTTCAGGACTCACCCGAGCCAAGCACAGGACCATGTGGAGCCCACGCCAACGGAGGAGCGACCCAGAGCGCCCGCCGCTGCCCGCGGGGGACGCCCCACAAAGGTCTCCATCGCCCCGTTACACCACGACGGGTCGGGGTCTCGAGTCAGGCCCGCCCCGGGTGGCCGAGATCCCGCCCCCGGGCGCGGGAGAGGAGCGCGGAGATGCGACTCTGCCGCCATGTGCCAGCGCTCGCCTCCGGGGTTATGTAACTAACGCCCGAGCGCTGGAACGAGCCGCACCGGTCGCGGCTCGCGGACGCCGCTTCCCCGCGCGGAGAGGCGAAGGAGCCGCCCGGCCTAGGC